TATTCATCTCCATTACAGTAAGAATAAGTGTGAACAGTCCTCTCCATTTCCAGTAAAAATAAATGTGAACAGTCATATCCTTTTAGTAAGAATAAGTGTGAATATTCATCTCCATTACAGTAAGAATATGTGTGATCAGTCCTCTCTATTTCCAATAAGAATAAGTGTGAATATTCATCTCCATTACAGTAAGAATATGTGTGATCAGTCCTCTCCATTTCCAGTAAGAATAAGTGTGAATAGTCCTTTCATTTCATGATATTGAGAATATCTCATCAGTCTTGTATTGAAGTTAAAACTGGGAGATTCTCCGTGGAGGTGATATTAATGTTAGAGCTGGTTTTGTTTGTTTTATTTTTCTGTAAAAGACATCAATATTTATCGCATGCTTTTTAAATTTGTGCACGAAACTTAAAAGATTCGATAATAGAAACTTTGAACGGAAAGAACGAAAAAATTATACGAATTTAACTATTGATTTTTAAACATTTACTGACATTTTGTGTTTTTCTTCTAGAAAATTATTACAATTACTTACACTATAAACCATGAAAATGCGTAGCTATTTAGAATGAAAGTTGGGTTGCTAGTAATATTCCACTTTTAGTGCCTTATCTTTGAATAGTCCTACACTTTGCCAATGCTTTATATGGTATATTATTTTTGTTGAATGCCAATGGTATATATATATATATCCTATATCATATTTTGTGTTAAATTCATGATTTAGTCTTTTAAATGTTAGGATCTTTAATACGGAAAAATACAGAATTCACCTGCCACCACATTAGCTTGCTAATGCAAAATCCTAATTAAGAGATATTTCTTTTTTAGAATTATTACTCTTGTGATCTAACTACTGTACGTTTCCTTGATATTTAGTTCCCGTAGGAAGGGTATTCGCGGAGCACTTACTTCATGACAAATGATTCACACTGCTTCCACTACTCTGGATAAATTGCTATTAAACAACATTGCCATTTTCTGTAGGGTTTTTCTGATATGCTGTTTTCAGCGTATATCTTAACGAATCCAATATTTACTGAGCCCATGAAAGTCACATAGTTTTACTTTCGACAATTTTTCAGTACATTCTAGGCTATGTAATAACGACCACAAAAAGCATGTAAAAATTGATCTAATCGTTTGCGACTGTTAGTATCGATTCGGGAATGGACTCTTTTAAATCTTTATAGCATAGAGATGGCTGGCAATAGATTTATATCGAGAAATACAAAAGAAACACGACTTTTTTACATAACCAAAAGGCCATGTCCTCCTGACATAAAGTACTTAGTGAACGAAGTAAAATAAACAATGTTTTTGTATCTTTTCGAGTTATTCATACTATACGTATTTTCGTATTTATTTTCCTTTATATATTAAATGGGAGGAAAATCAATCGAGCTTTAATATTAATCTGTCAGGTTTCGATATTTCTAGAGATCCTATACACTATGAATATCGTATTTCTTGTATAACTGCTAAAGCGCTAGCGTTTAGATGTCTAACGAACCACTACGATGTGCTTTACTGAGGCCTGGCGTGTCCAGGTGGTTAGGGCGTTCGACTCGCAACCTGCGTGTGAGTCGCGGGTTCGAATCTACGTTCCACCAAACATGCTCGCCCTTTCAGCCGTGGGGATGTTAAAATGTGACGGTCAATCCCACTATTCGTTAGTAAAAGAGTAGCCCAAGAGTTGGCGTTGGGTAGTTATGACTAGCTGCCTTCCCTCTACTCTTTCACTGCTAAATTATGGAAGGCTAGCGCAGATAGCCCTCGTGTAGCTTTGCACGAACTTCCAAACAAACTATGCCAAGCCTAATTAAAGATATAGATAATGTTAGGCCTAATTTTGTGACTGTAGCTTAGTTCAACAACTTAATTAGATTTTAAATCTGTCCGCTTCTTGAAATAAACGTCAACAACTTATCAGCTGTATTAACGTAAATTTATATTTCAAGTATTGTCAAAAAATCTTTCTGTAATTATTACCGTCATATCACATCTCACTACTCATTTTTGCTTGTTTATTTATGCTGAAAATGTAGACACCTGTGTGAAATGGCTGATGTCTATAGTTTAGAAGTCAGTGTGTGATGGCAAGTATCTCTACTGTACAGCGTTGAAGTGTGAATACGTTATTTTCAAATATAAGAACCTGATAATTAAGGTTATGATTTATTACTTGCATGTATGATGGTGCTTGTGTTATTTAGTTAATATCAATAAGCGTAAATGGTAATTAAGTATTTAATACTCAATTTACTGACGTAATCCTTTAACAGGGAAATATATATCAAACATATTATTGCTGTTTAAACATTTTGGTTTTTATTGAAAAATTAATAATCTTATGACTAACTTAGAACTACTGAAGTCAAATGAAGGACAGCTAAAGTTATCCAAAACCCATATACTATATATTGATGGCAGCTTAATATAAGTTTTGTTTACATACACACTTTTCTATCCTTCCAAATTTAAAGCGAAGTTGAAGCTGTCTAGCTTGGGAGCAAAGTTTCGATCTTTACTATTCTTCACCTTTTGGTGATATAAGTTATGGATGTGACATGTAACATGTTTGCTCATACTGAGTAAGAAATTTCTTCATACCAAGACCAGCTGAGAGCAGTTTTATTTAGTTAGTGGAGTTGCTCGTAGTATTAGATTTGAGCAGTTATTAAACTTCATGGGCTTGGTAATCCTGGTGGTTTGTAATCCTGATGGTTTGGAAGTATGGCTGGCTTGGTAATTCTGGTGGGTTTGTAATCCTGATGACTTGGCAGTCTTGCTGGCTTGGTAATTCTGGTGAACTTCCAACCCATCAGAATTACAAAACCACCAGAATTACCAAGCCAGCAAGAGTTCCAACCAATCAGGATTACAAAACCACCAGAATTACCAAGCCAGTAGGACTTCCAGCCCATCAGGATTACAAAACTTGCTGGCTTGGTAATTCTGGTGGTTTTGTAATCCCGATGGTTTGGCAGTCTAGCTGGCCTGGTAATTCTGGTGGTTTTGTAATCCCGATGGTTTGGCAGTCTAGCTGGCCTGGTAATTCTGGTGGTTTTGTAATCCTGATGGCTTAGTAATTCTGGTAGTTTTGTAATCCTGATGGCTTGGCAGTCTTGCTGGCTTGGTAATTCTTGTGGTTTATTAATCCTGATAGCTTAGCAATCCTGGTCAAATGTGCATTCCAACCTGGTTCAATAAAGCTTTTTATATCATAGATTTAGTATGAGTACCATTAATTCACTCGACATGCCCCCAAGAAGAGATCAAAGCAACGAACATTCTTGCTGGCATAATCACTGGAAGAAAAAGAAACATATTTCAAACTATAGTCATTGGCACTCACTTATATATATATATATATATAATAATCAAACGCTTACTATCTTACCAGTACTGAATCTAATGCATAAACATAAATTCATATCAGTATGTGTTCAGAAAGACTAGATGTTGGTAACTATAGATTTGTTTTTTTTATTTGTAATTACTAGATTTTGGTAACTATAGATTTGTTTTTTTATTTGAAATTGAATACTGATAAAATCGTACGTCATTCACAGCATATATTTTTACTACTCAGGAATGGATCGTCAAGATAATAGTATCAGAAATATGAAACTGTATTCATTCACTGATGTAATGACTCAATAACGTTTGAAGCTGCATTTGCATTATAGTTCTTATTTATAGCTCTAGGCGTTAACCACACGAAATAAACGAGCTGTAGTTCACAGCAAACTCATTAAAATTTCGAAATATAAGAAAAATACCTCCTAATCATGAACTGTGTTCTTTTTCTCCTAACCGCAAGAGATGATCAAAAAACAGAAATTAAATACATCTGTGAATCATTTAACCTAAAATGATTGTAAAGTCTCTATATAGATATGCATGTAACGGTTAGGCTTATCAAGTACGCCATGGTGTAGGACCATTCGTAACATAGACAAATACCGTAAGTCATTTTTACTGGTGCCTTCTGGCGACAAGAAAGAATCATCGTAAAAAATATGCAATAATAAGTATGAACATGGAATCTGGTACAGCTAGAAATCACATTAAAATTGTATACGTATGTATTTAGTCTGTTAATGTTTTTTGCATTGAAGTTACTCAAGTCATTATTTCTGGCAAAATTGCGCATATGCTAAATTATGTATTACAAACTTATTTTATTGATACTTGCTGAAATATGTACAGACTAGGATATTATTAAGAAATTTTAATGTGCCAAGGTTTGTTACCTACTTTTGAAATATGTCTTCAAATGTAACTTCTTGTTTATTATTAAACGAAATATAAGCACAATATACTATTTGTACTACGCCTACCACAAGGATTGAACCCCGAATTTTTTACCTTGTTACATGCATAAGTCAAATTTGAAGATAAAAATATCTGTACCATACTTTTGAAATGTGACTTTTAACAGTCATATCATTTGCAAATCACCTGCAATGGAAGTGGTTACTTTGCATAATTTTTTTTTTAGTTAGACCAATGAATCATGGAGGGTCAACGGTAAGTTTACTTACTTATAACGCTAAGATCCGGGGTTCTGGAACAAACAAACAATTTTCACACTCACGTAATACGTTAAATAACACGTGATATTTTAATAATTAGTGGCCGGTCGCCAGTGCTCATACCGGTGTAGCGTGAAACGTTAACATGTGCATACGAGTACAGTTGTTAAGTGCACATATATGATTAATCAATGAGGATATTTGTTTTCAGCATATGGGATTTCTGTTTATATATGAGTTCAATTTGTTTAGTTCGAGGATTAAACAGAAAACTGTATAAGATGTTAAGAAAATAAGGACCAAATAGACCTTTAACTTTAGGCCTATCTCTACTCACTCTGCCTAAAATTGTAGCATGTTTTGATCAGCAGCACTGCATTCTTACGTAGGCACTTTTTTTTTATTCCTGTAATCTCCCAGTGGAGCATAGGGCCTCAACAACACCTCGCCAACGGAAGGTGTTGTAGCAGGTTGGTTTTTACGGGGTGGAGTTACTAGCCCCGCGCCCAACCCTCCCCCTTTCTCATCCTGGACTTGGGACCAGGC